GAAAGAGTGAGCAGGAAAGGTCAGAGAACTTTTCGACTGACTCAGAACCCCTCCCTGCCGTCTGTCCATCTTCCCCCGACCCTCTCCCTCATCTGGGTGCCGACCCCATTCTGGGTCACCTCCAGGCTGCGGGCCCCTCTGGGCTGACTGGCAGCACGGGGCTGCACTCAGCGGCCGCTCACGCCCCGGGCACTGCAGACCTACCTGCACCTCCCGCTGCCCACAAGCCCACCCGGCTCACTCACCTGGGCGCCTGGATTACCCTGCTGTCCCGGGGGGCCGGGCTCTCCCTGGGGACCCTACAGGAAACACAAGTGAGACGCTGAAGGGGGCTCTGGAGGGCGAGCAGGGGGTGCAATCTGCTCTCATGCCCAGACGGGAAGGCAGGGGGCCCTGGGGCAGGCAGGGAGCCAGATCCAGGCCCCTCCGGGTCAGAAGCACATGCCTGTGTCTGTGCAGGCACGGCAGACAGCTGGCCAGGAGGGTCAAGAGACAGGATCTACCAGAAAATATCCCATCCGGCTGAAAATTCCCAAATCATCACGCCAGCTAAATTCTCCCGGGCTCTTAAAAGAGACCCATGAGACCCCTCTCTCTCTCAGTGGGCGCTGTCACAGCACCTGGCCACCACCAGCTTGCCACGCACAGCGAGAAAGAGGCTTCCCACCACACCTGTGCTGACGCGGTCAGGCTCTGGATGGAGCAAGCACCGACTCCAGGATCTCACATGTGCTCTCCTGCTGGAGGCCTGCACCTCGCGGGGCCGGGGCTCAGAGTCTGCATCCTCCCCGTCACATCTCCATCTGGTTTTGGTGGCATGGATCCCCCTCCCCTGCCCCGAGCAGCTGGGAGTGAGCCCAGGGGTCACCGCTGTGAGACCGGGGCATGGGACCCCCAGACTTACCACATTGCCTTTCGGGCCTGGTTGGCCATCCATTCCCGTCACACCCTGGATGAATGACATTGAAACAAAAGAGACTGAAAATTAACAAAGCTCAACAGGAAAAGTCCACTCAACACAGCTTGGTCCCTGCCCGCAATGTCAGAGGACGCCACACCCTTTGAGGGAGCGGAAAGGCTTGATCCCGAATAAATCCCAAGACTGGCTAGAGTTTAGCGGGGCTGCCAGGCCCCAGCATCATGTGGGGCAGCCCTGAGTTCTCGGACAGCTGGGCAGAGGGGCCAGCCCTGGGGAAGCCACCCCCTGGATAGAGCCCTGCCAGAACCACGGGCTTCTGTCTCCCTCCAGGAGCTGCCAAGATGCTACTGGAAGTGTTTTCAAGGAGGGGAAATGGGCGTCCCGGTGACTGTTTATAATGGCAGACGCTGTGTGCGGGGAAGGACAGAGCGAACCCTGCACCTCCACCTGCAAGCCCACACCTGCCGGGGCTGCCCTCCCACGGGTGAGCATCAGGGCCCCACAGGCACCCAACGCGAACACTGGGCAGCGTGCACAGCTGTCAGTGCGGGCAGCTGCCGGCAGGCCCGAGTGGACCACAAGCTGGGGGCGGGATCTCGAGGGCAGGGATGGGACAGACACGCGAAGGACTTACGGGAGGTCCAGGAGGGCCTGGGGGCCCCTTCGGCCCCAGCAGACCACGAGGCCCCTGCGAGAGGAAAGGGCAAGGAAGGTTCAGACTCGGCCAGGAA